GTCATTCCCCAATTTATATTGGAACCTGGGACATATGCCAGATCTTCTGAGTTTTATCTTGATTTAAGCAAGACCTACCTACGTAAAGATAAGTAACAAGACAAGCTCTGACAGCACTTTTTTGTTGTGGGTTTTGTTTGGGGGTTTTTGTGATCTGTGCTCTAATGACCCTGTGCTTGTGAAGGAGTTTGTAGAGGAGTCTTTAGAATAGTGCCCATCTATTACATGTGCTAAGTAGGCCCAGTTTTATTGTGCAAATTGCTTCCCTTTGTAAGTTCTGCAGCTCTCACCTGCAAATCTCTGCTTCTGTGCTGCTACTGCATATAATGATTTTAAATAACTGATGTCTGAAGTTTCACTCTCCTTCCACGTGCTGTAGCATGTGGACTGCTGCAGGAACACAGCAGTGAATAAGCCTGTTACACGCACTGAAAGCCTGCGTGCTTCTCTCCAGGAAGAAATTGGCCTTTTTTGGAAAGATGCTTCAGTTCTGTAACTTTCATGCAGGAACTTAAGACTAGTGGCTGAAATTAGGCGGTCAACAGAGGTAAATGCTCCCTGAGGATCATGCAGATTAACCGTGCATAATTCAAAAAAATCCTTCACCAGGTTATAGAGCCAGTTTCAGGACCATGCAACTAAAACTTGTATTTTCTGGCCCACAGAAAACACGATTACTAAGTTGCTACTGCTCTTCAAGCTTCCAAATCAACTGGCCTGAGAATTCTTTTATGAGGAACTGTTTTGTTTAAATATGTAATTCCAAAAGAATCATAGAAATAGAAGTTACAAAAATTGATCGGGAAACTGGGAAGCACTGCAGTGTGTGTGCAGTGTGCGTTGAGGTAGGAAGAGTCATCTTGGCTTTAACATGAAGCTTAGAAATAAGCAATTGGAGTATGTATTTTGTTACTATTTAGGTATGAAGTTCTACATTCAAAAGCTAATTTAAACTAAGCTTTCCTCTTTCTTGCCTTATTTTCTTAAGTACTGGTTCAGTTTCAGATGTTACCCTAAAGATACATCCCACAAACAAATCTTAATATTGAAGGATATTATAAAGAAGAAAAACTATACTGATGTGTTATGAATGCTTTTTTAAAATAAAATTGTACAATGAATGGCAGTTTCTCTCCTTATGGTTTTGACTGAAACTACACCAAATGGTAATAGATACGTTATGAAGTCAGAAAGATTTTGCAATTTATGAACCATTGCTTTATACCTCTGGAGTATTTCAAGCTTTTCAGACCTTCATGAGTGGTTTTGCCGTACAAAATATGCAGATAAATCTTAACTTGTGATGGAAACAACTAGCGTAGGATGTTCTGCTGTAGTCGTGATGTTCAAGCTGAGGAACCACTTGAGAGTGATCCAGCCACAATCTGAATAGCAGTATTCTGTGCTTCGGTAGAAAATGTCATGCCTTGGGAGTCAGTCATGTGCTCTCACGTACTCTCTCCTCCATTCTCCTGGAGAGCGGGGGCTGAGGCTACCGATGGGCGTTGGAAGTCGGCACCTCCGAAACCTCGTGTGCACACCAACCGTTTCTTTCTTAACAAAGCCTGTGCTGTTTTCAAACACTTTATCTTAACATAATACTAGTGTTTAATAAATTGTCTTTGTTTGCGCAAAGCTTTGCCGCAGGAGAGCTACAGAGAGTTGTCCACAGGTAAAATCCAATATTGCTATGATTATTTAAATACTGTTCCTACTATAATTATTCTAATCCAGTCATTCATAGTAGCTATTTACACCGTCACAGAAGGAAGAAGACTTGTTATCTGTTGCCTATGAATATAGGCAGTGTACAGGGATATAGATACACCTATGTGTGCTTGATCTTAACTGAAATGTTTTTTAGTCTTTAAAAAAAATCAAGCCTTAGATAAGCGGGTATGCTGTGAGCTAATGGAAAAAACAATGACAATCATACTAACGAAACAGCTGAGTAAAAATAGCCACTCTGCTTTCATTGTATTGTTAAAGGTCAGCTACTTAAAAGCACTGTGATTTTTGAGGATATAGAACTGGAATAGTATTGTTACAAATCCCACTGACATCTTGAAAGTGCAAGCCTAAAAATAATTGGGGTCAGGGGTGGAATTTGCTATCTGCTATGGGTGAAAGAATTTTTTTAATATGGTGGTTGTACTGAAATAGTGGTTTTTCATGTAGATCTTGGTGAATCACTTCTGCCTGGTCAGACACAGCAAATTTCTTTTGCTAGGCACATGCTGGTTGTTGCCTAAACCTTAAGAGATCGTAAGAAGTTGAAGATCTGTCCTAAACCTTGTCTAGGAGTTGTTCAGTCTTGTAAACAAAGTGTGGCAGCCATTTCCCTGGTTCAGAAGGAGGCTCAGTATTATTCTTTTCCCAGAAAAGGGTTTGGAAGTTTTGCTTTTGCGTTCTTCCCTTCAAAGACGGTGATTTTGGACGTGTTTTCCTTGTATCTCTTTGGGTGTCGCTGCACAGTTACCGTATTTTTTAGTATAGGAAATATTTTCCCTTTTTTCTTTATGAAAAGTGAGGTGAAAGCCTTATAGCAGCGTGGGTGTGGCAGAAAAGGTTTAGAGATAATACTGTATTAGTTGCTGAAAAGTATTAACGTATTAATCTCTTTCTTTCTCCCCAGAACGAATTGCCAGATACCCATGCGAAATTCCACGTCCTGTTCCTTTTCTTTGTGGCAGCCATGTTCTTCATCAGCATTTTGTCACTCTTCAGCTACCACTGCTGGCTGGTTGGCAAAAACAGATCTACCATAGGTCAGTTCATTGCAATATGAAACTGCTCCTTGTCCAGAAAAACCAACGAGTCGGTGTGAGTGCAAGGCCTACAGGATATGCCAGTCACCTATAAACAGAATTTTTAAATATTGGGCGATAAGGGTGTTTGGTGAAAGTAATTAAAGGTGAAACATAAGGGATACTGAAGCACATGTAAGGGTCCTCTGCTGGAGCCAAACATGTAGATTCATGATGAATGTTCATTTCTTTATTTTGTATTGATGAGATTTCTGAGGTGCTGTGCATTTTTGTTGTGTTTTCATAGAGTTTTAAGTATATAACACAGTTGCTACTTGCCAGTTACTCTGCTGCTGTAATACTTTGAGTAGTTAGGTGGCCCCAACCAAGGCAAAGGCTTTACTGTATATGAACGTACTTCATTTTGAACCAGATCCAAATGAGTGTTCTTCAATCCTGAGAAATAAAATGGACCTTGCTATTAGGAAGTGGCTTGTAAAAGCAACACAGTAAAAATGGAAACACTGATGCACATTTCCTAAATAATAAAAGAGATGCCTGTAATTTCTATTCTTAAATGCTTTAAATGGCATTGGCCAGCATAGGCAAGTTAGCTGCATTAGTTAAAATATCTGAAGTTCTTGCTAAACCATTTTTTCAAGAGCTTTTTGTGGAGTAGGCAAGGGGGCGGGAAATGGTGGCTATTTCCCTAACTGAGTAAATAAAAATCTTCTACCTTTCAAAGGAAGTTAAATTTCTGTCCTCAAAAATAAGTGAGTTGATTGAAAGTGAAATGATTTTCAGGTTGCTACAATGTTTTAATGAAGGAAAATGATTTTTTTTTAATTGCTTGTCAGAAGTTTGAGTCCTTTTTCTTTTGATGTACCTACCAAGCAATATTCAGTCTCTTATTTAGCTTTGAAGAAAATTTTAGTATGTTCCTTGCCCAAAAGTCAGTGGTGATAATTGGCAGCACAGTTAGTATTGTATTTATTTACTTTCTGGATCATGACTGTAAAAAGGCTGTTGGTATGGGGAGAGAAATGAGGACTCTCAGTTCCTGGCCAAGGACATAACCTGACTGGCTAGAAAAATGGTGGTGGTTTGCTATGTTTCATGGTGTGCCTGTCTTTCTAATTAAAAAGATCTCATCTTTCTCTGATACCACGGGATGCTCTTAATTCTACTTCGCACCTTGGTAGAAGTGAGAAAAACAGTCCTGTATGGGTTTAGGTCCAGGAGTGCTTATGGTAAATTGCTTTTGGAAGAGGAAGTCTTCTGCTCAAAGAAGGCTTGACAGGCCAAAGAGCCAGCAATGAATAAGGGATGTGGTGTCTTTGGCCTGCTGATGGTGCTTAGCTCTGCCTCAGACCTTAGGTTAAATGTAAAGAGAGAAAGATGACTGTTCTGCTTACCTGAGCCTTCTTATCTTCCATTTCTATTTTTGACATTAACCCTATATTCTTCCATGCACTCTGATTGCTTGAGGTGACTTTTTTTCCGTATAATACACATCAAGATAGTTCTAGCTTGCCCAATACTGTTTTCGCAATAGAGAAGTTTGAGTCTGTTCAGTCATCTTCCCTGGCTCTTCCTTATCACTCCAGAGATATTGCGTGTTTTTCTTTTACAGAAACATTCCGTGCACCCACATTTCGAAATGGCCCTGATAAAAATGGCTTTTCTCTTGGATGCAGCAAAAATCTGAGGGAGGTTTTCGGAGATGAAAAGAAGTATTGGCTACTCCCTATCTTTACCAGGTATTCAGTCTGAATGGGAATGAATTGAGGAATAAGTTGATTCCATGACTTACACCTTGTTTCCCTTTCTCTTAAAAAATAAGGCAACTGAAAACCCAACTTGTAAATTTTGCACGATGAGTAATGGTGTGGGGAAAATGTGCAGGAGAAATCTGAGCAAACTGCACAGGGTTTTCATTCAAAGACAAGGGCCTCCTCATTGGCAAGGGCCTTCTAAATACGGAAGCATTGAAAGCTTTGAGAAGTGCATTTCAAAAATTGTACAGCTTTTGGTGGTAATACCAGTGCCTGATTATCCAAATGCATGAACTTTAGCTGCATTGAAACACCACCAGTTTAAAAACACCCTCTTACCCCTGAAAAAACTTGACAGCTTTCCTTTTGCTGTCGATGACGGGTTTGGTATTGAAAGCTGCCTGAGAAAGTGCATGTAAATAAGCAGCAGTGCAAAAAAATAAATTGTGATATGATGCAAAATACTGATTTTAAAACTTCAGCTGAGCCAGTGTTAAAGAGTCCGGGATCTTAAGTTGCCTCAGCTGTTTGCTCAAGTACCATGACTTTTCATGTGATTAGAAAAACAGAAGCTATATTGTAGATGGGTCAGTCTGTGTTGCCACTACATTTTATCCTGATTAATCTTGCTTTAAAAGAAGGCTTAGCTAACCTCAGAATGATGGGTGGAGGGGAAAGCATGGCCACTGGAATGTTATTTATGCTGCAGCTTCTGGGGTTGTAAATACCAGATAGCCTGACTACCTGTGCATGGTGGTTTGGAGGAAGAGTTGGGCTACAGTCTACAGAAACAGTGATGTTTCTGGAGTACATGGACGAGTGCTGTGCTCAGCAGTCCATACTGAGTGATAGGCTGGCAGTCATTTGAGCTCCGAGATTTAATTAACTGATCAGCCAGCTTAGAGCTAGGACTGCCTTGCTCAAGCCCAGAGTTCAGCACTGCCCTCACTCACTGATTCAAGACTGTAGCATTTGCCTTTTGCATGGGTGCTTGTTCAGTTCATTTAAGTCAACTACAAACAGTGATTTGAGTCTTTGTTTCCGGTTTAGTTTGGGCGATGGGTGCAATTTTCCAACTCGTTTGGTTATTATGGATCCAGAGCAACTTGCTGTCTCAGGGCAAAATGAACCTGCCAAAAGGTAATTATAGCAGTGAAAATAGTGATTTTTGTTTTGTTCTGTACTTTGTCTGGAAAAAAACCATAGTTTCAAAATTATTTTTAATTTTTGTATACTTCTCGTCATGTTCAGAGTGGGTTTGTAAGTCTTCAGAGAAGGACAGGATGGATCAAGACTGAAAACTGGTGCTACTTGATGCAGAAATGCTGTTTCTTCATTTTGACCTGTAACAGATGATATGGCTCTAAGGAAAAAGAGTAATACAGAATGTAAGAGGCCTCACTGGCTCTTAGCAGCAATCAGAAGTCATAGGGAAGATTGAACAGTGATCCATGGAAAAATAAGTTTAGGATACTTTGTGAAATGAGAGGAGGGCAAGGTGTATGTATTATTTGTATTTCTCTTCCTCCAGTGTGCTCAGCAAGGGATGCTGAGACCCCAGTTTGCAAGCGAGGTAGATACCACCGTGACTATTGCTGGCTTTAGCACTGGAGGGTTTTTAGCTCATTACTTTTTATGCCTCCAGATCTGCACGTTTTCTATCTTCAGTGTATTTTCAGGAAGCTTGCTTTAGATTCAAAGGCACAAGAGTATGTGAGACTTCTAGGAGCGTTCACATTTGACACTTCAGAAGGCTGCAGAGTTTGTTGAATTTGTAGCTGAAGGTTGTTACCAACAGCAGTCATCGGAGTTATCACTCTTGCCTTTGAACACCCCCCAATGCCTGATAAGGAGTTGCTTCCAGTGCAACACAACATGTGGAATTTACACGAGAGCGGGACCCTTGTGCAAACAGCAGGGTATCCTTTTGCATTAGGAAGATGTTCAGCAGAAGGCTCTAGGATTTACTGATGGGGTAAGATGGCATTAGGTTGTTCTTCCAGACAGTACTGGTTAGGTTTTCTTCTTACCTGTGTGGCTGTAGCATTACTGCCTGCAGACATTTCTTGTCTATCAGCCTTTGCTTTTTCTCCCATTGGAAGTGCGAGTGGCCTATGTCGGGTTAGGGTTTAGACTGCCTGCTGGAACAAGGAGAATTAGGGTTGGAGGCAGGGGACCCTTTTTAGTTGGCAGTGTAGGGGTTTTTTTGTTTGCTTTGTTCTTAAGTAACTTCCCTACTCTAGAAATGTCTGAAATAAGCAGCTACTGCTATTCCAGAATTCCTGTTGACTTTTCAGCTCTGGAGCCACTCAGTCTTTTCCTACTCGACCGCTCAGTGAATCACAAAATCGATTGCTAGCCAGTGACAACCAGTGGGTGGAAAGTGGCCCTGAAGAGGAAAATGTTAAATCAGGTAGCCTGCACTGTAACACTTCTGATGATTCTGTGGTTTTGCTTGTGGTGGGTTATTCCATTTTCTTTTTCAGGCTTAAAAAGTCCTTAGGAATTGGTTGGAGTCAAGTAGTAGTCAGCATATTTATAAGTTAAGGCTAATTTGTGTCTTTTGCTCTGCTCCAAACTGAGTCATTACACTGAGGTAACGAATAGATAATTCTTGTTTTCACAGTTCCTGTTGTGAGATACTGGGTCTTTTTACATTTGATTGGGGGAAGAAAATATTTTTCTAAAATAGGCACAATACAATAAACGTGCTTTCTGGTTTGAGGTCTTTGCTATTTGTTGTGCAAATCTGCAAAAACGCATAATTGAGACTCTCTCATATTTTAGGTGCAAAAAAGCATATTATAGTTTCATTGGAAAGCTGATCTCAGCTTATTACTAACCAACCATCTCAATGAGAAACAGGTAAGACTAACATAATTGACTGTCATTTCTGTATACGTATGAATAAACTAAAATAGACTTCTTGAAGTCCAAGGTCACTAGTCATGGAATGCAGAGGAGTCCTCTGATGTTGGATGAGTAATAGAAAAGTCTAAATAAAACTCAGAATGGCTGTGCAGAAGACAAGAATGGCAGTAATGCTGCAGTGCAGGAAACACAGGCTGGCTAGACTGGACATGAGTGAGGCTAATCCTGGTGTTTAGACTGAAGTGGGTAGTGCTGCATTTGTTACCTGACCACGGAAAAGAATCTCGTCTGCTAAACAGGCAATTCCAAGCTGAAGTGCTGTCTTGAGGAAGCGCTGTTCTTAAGGAACAGCTCCTTAGCTGTCTTTTTCTTAATCATACATTGGTGGGCCGTGCTCTGCGCTAACCCTGTGAGAAGCTGCGTGTGCGTGAGGAAGGAAGGTCAGTGTGTAAAGACAGGTGTCTGCACGCAGACTGCCTCGTCACACCGGGAACTGGCAGCAGTCTTCTTGTGTAAGAGCTCTGCGCACACTTGGCACTTGGGAAATACAGTGAGTGCTCCCACATTTATGAGAACTTCCCTTGGTGTATTATTACCAGTGACTGAATTAGACTACTTTTACATTGACTTCATGCTGAGGTGAGCTTATAACCTCCCGCTAATTTTTTTCTCTCTGGAAGAGAAACAAATCTTACTTGGACAACTAGTAACCATAGATGCTGAGGGCTGTCATTCACCCCCTCTGCCTTTGTCATTTTTCCTCCTTTTGTCCTTCTGGTTTTCCCCTTTTTTGAACTTGCAAGGAACTCCCAATTCACAATGTTTTAATTTTGTGAGAGCAGTAATTTTAGGATTTTTCTTTTAATAAACCTTCTGACCTAGAATCATTATTTGGGGTTTTTGTTTGTTTTCAAGACAAAATCTAAAAGGTCTTTGTGGGGGATGATGTGATGCTTGGACTGATGTTGGTCAGACAGCTCAGTGTAAACACTTACAGAACCTGTATTAGACTAGTTAGTGGTACTTCTGAAAAACCTACTCAACCATGTGAACCCACCAATTATGAGTTTTCCCTTTGCAACTTAACACTTTATATAAATATGCAAATTAAAGTGCTGAGCAAGGGACACTTTTCAGCTTCAAGCTATATAAAAAGCTGGCCAGCAGGTCAAGGGAGGGGATTCTGCCCCTCTACTGTGCTTTGGTGAGACCCGACCTGGAGTACTGCGTCCAGTTCTGGAGTCTCCAACATCAGAAGGACATGGAGCTGTTGGAGCGGATCCAGAGGAGACAGCAAAGATGATCAGGGGCTGGAGCACCTCACCTATGGGAACAGGCTGAGAGAGTTGGGGCTGTTCAGCCTGGAAAAGAGAAGGCTCCTGGGGGGACCTTATTGTGGCCTTCCAGTTCCTGAAGAGGGCCTGCTTCCTGTAGCTGGGGAAGGACTTTTTACAAGGGCATGGACGAGGGGTAATGGTTTCAAACTGGAAAAGGGGAGATTTAGACTAGATATCATGAAGAAATTCTTCACTGTGGGTTGCCCAGAGAAGCTGTGGATGCCCCCTCCCTGGCAGTGCCCAAGGCCAGGTTGGATGGGGTTTTGAGCAGCCTGGGCTGGTGGGAGGGGTCCCTGCCCATGGCAGGGCTTGGGCTGGGTGAGCTTTAAGGTCCCTTCCAACCCAAACCACTCTGTGATTCTATGAAGAACCCCCTGATCTAAGCAGGCACTTACTAAGGCTTTTATATTCTTCATAGAAAGGAATAGGTATTTTCTGAGAGCAGTTCATCCCAGTAGCCTTTGATACTGTATTACAGAAAGGGCTTAATCTTTCTTTCCACTGACCTAGAGAGGGAGCATAAGCAACTGGCTTAGGCTACACAATTAACTGGTAATAGTTCAAGATTAATTTCTTTTCTGTCTTCCCTCTCTTCCTAAAGTCAGGCCAAATTTAATAAAGGAAGATTGTGTACTTTGTGTCACACTTGCCCAAACTGCTGTAGTTTTGTAAGTAAGCTGTATAAATAAATACTGCATAACTGCACACAACACAAAAGTACTTCAGTATGTGTTATCCCAAATAACAGTTAACTCAGTAGCACATCTGAGCAGATCTGAGTTCAGTTGGATCTCATCACAGTTTCTGGAGGCCATGGTGGTTAATTCCAGTCCCCCTGCAATTGTAACTATCTATGCAATAGCTGTGAGAGCCAACATCTGCTCCCTGCACTTTCATATACCCTGTAACAGACTGATATTTTTCAATTTTTTGCCTGTAATACACAGTAGAAGCAAAGTTACAGCTGATGCTTAAAATTCCCAGATTATTATAGAGAAAAGAGCATGACTTGCAAAAAAAGGCCAGTCCCCTAGCCTCACCTAGGCAAGTATCATTTGTGTCCCTGTATCTACCCATTTAATTCAAAATGAATGAGCAAGTCTTGCCAATCAGGGATCCAAGAGACTTTAGCCACAGGTCAGTGGTGATGGATTGACGTTCTTAATGGAGATAATCTTCTAAAACATAAGAAGCTTAGACCAAAAACAAAACAAAAAACCCCTACATGTCCCAGAGGGCTAATTATGAGTTGAAGTTACGTTAACTGCTGTCCTGAATCGGGAGGCTGTATGCTACATGGTACCTGGCTGCATTCTTGTAATGCACTATGACCTGTTTTCTCAGAGCTGATGGTACAGTTCCACTAATCACCTTTTTTTTGTTTCACTAGGTTTCTGCAACACATTTTGTGCTTGAATATTGCTTAATTTTGTTTGGAAGAAGTTGATCAGTAAAAAATGGAACACAGAACATTTTAGGAAGAGACATGAAATTCAAGTTTCTGCACAGTACAACGGATTCTTGTAAGCACTATTGCAGAGCAGGGAGGTTAAGACAGATGCCTTAAGATTCTTAATGTGCATTTATGCAACACTGAATTTAAATACTGCTACCAAAGGGCCAAATCCTGAAGTGCCCTGCTTGGATGCACAAGGTCCAGAGTGGGAACTATGCATTTCTGTTATGCTGCAGTGGTGGGGGTAGATGGCAGAGACTCCTACCTACCCACGGGCAAACTTCATACCTTAGGCACTGCAGAAGTCACTTCCATAGCAGGTCTCCAGGGTACAGAAAGAAAAAATAAAAAGAAAAAGCAGCTGGTGAGTCTGAAGTGTGACTGTACATAGTTCAGCACCAGGTGACGGGGAAGGGACTGGATGGTGTCTTCTCTCTTCCTATTAACCAGTCTGCCCCATGATCATAGCTCTCGCGGTCTTTCAGGACTGAGGATTCCTTCTCCTAGCTGTGCTTTGGAGCAAGGCAATGCCAGTAATGTCAAAGCCTTTTACTTGGGTGTTGCTTTTTTGCTATAGGATCAAGCCCCCTCATCATTTTAACTTGATTTCATTTAACCATATCAAGAACAGAGCTCAAAGAAGCAAACTTGGTTTTTAGTTGAAAAAACATGGATTATTAGTTTCCAGCAGTTGTCTATCAGCATACTAAGAAAAACCAATCCAGAAGGGTTTTAACAATTGTTAGATTTTCTGTTAATGTCTGTAGTGGTCTGTATGAGGCAGTAACAAAATGGTAAAGTACCCCTGAGGAAAACCGTATTGCAGTTGTGTGTTGTTAGAAAATGGAACTAGAAGAGTACTGCTTTTTCTGTGGGACTCTTGGTGGTTTATAAATACTGTTTTATACCTTTTGTTTTACCTTTTTAATAAAGGCTCAAGTTTTTATTGGTTCTAAAGTAACCATTTAAACAAATACCAAGTACTTCTGAGAAAATTAGCGTTGGATCATATGTCTGTGTTAAGACACTGAAAATCTGTATGCTTTAGTCTGCCACTTTCAAGTCCAGTTTAATTGATGCTGAAATTGCTGAAGATGGAGTGTTTTGTGCAGTCATGAACCTGTTCTCAAAGGGCAAAATGTGTTTCCTGTGCGAGGAATAAAGTCCATCCTAAGCTCAAGACCCAAGCAAACAACATGTTTTTTCCCCTCACACTCCTCTATAGAGAACACTGCTAACTTGTCTTTGGGTGGTGTTGGAATTTTGCACCTGGAAAAAGTGACAAATACTGTTTTCCTGTCTGTAACTTGTCTGATGTTCAGCTGATGCTGATGACAGACAGACTTGAGCCCTTTTGATACAGACTGAAAAGTAGCAGAGTTGATGATCTGAACAAAAGAACCTGTTTGGTTTCTCTCCCAGGCTGAGTGTTACTTAAGTCAAATATGTTTATGATGGAGATACTAAGGTATCAAATATACTGTAAGGTTTAAAACAACTTTTTGTCTTTGGAAAGAATATTTTTTTCTGAAATATTCATCTTCTAGGACAAGAACACTTTGAGAACCTAAGAACGTGATTTGGTCACTGTTGCATGTTCTTGAGACAGAAGTAATGGTCCAAGCTTGCATGTTTTATAGAAGTTGCAGAATGTTTCTTCAAACTTTGTACAAGAAATTTTGCATTTGCAAATTTCAAAACTTACAGAAACATTTGCTCCATATTAATCTGAAAGGTTTAGCTTTTTCTTCTCAAACGTCAAGTGAGAAGTGCTCATCTGAATATAAGCTCCCAGCAGTACTGCACCAGCAAAATTTCTTGGGCAAGACGACAGAAGACTGCATGTTCAAATGGCTCCTTCTAAATACCAAAATGTACAGCCCCAAACACTGGCAGAACTGTAATGGAGGGCCCAGGGTATCATCTGGCTTTTCCTCCATCGGTGCATTAGAGCTGAGATAACGTACACGCACAGACATACTCTAGCAGAACTATAATCAAAATCTCTTTCTCTAATATGGTAAATATCACTGATGCAGCAGTATGGTCTCAGCTCCCTCCAACCCCGAAAGTGCTCAACAGACCCCATATGAATGTATATATACTGTAGGCTCTCATCAGTGTAACTTGTTTGATTTCTTAAAGGCAGGATAGTTAATCTACAGGAAAAACTGCAAGGAAACAGACTGGGCTAAATCCATGTGTGTCCTCTACCAAGTGCTGTTCTTCTGTAATTCATTATTTGTGTGTCTGAGGAACATTTCTGTGGCTTCTCATGGAGGGCTGATGTTTCTGACAGCTTTATGCAGATCACTGGTAGATTTTTGTCCCAGATTTTTTTCATGTTTCAGATAAGAAAAGGAGGAGAGCAGTGTGCTCGCTTGAGGCCAGAGTTACTGTTGGTGTAAAAGCAGGCAGTAACTTTGACAAATATGAAATGTAGTAAAATGATTCAAATATGATTCTTCCAAATTCACCACCTCTGACCCCCCCCTTTGTTTTTCCTGGAGAACTGGTTACTAAGAGAAACCCCAGGCTGATGGAAAGGAATTAAGTTCTCTAAGGGAATTGTACTGATGAACTCTGAGGTCCCACCAGTGAGTGGCGTGGGGGGTCAGGTTTTCCTGGCAGGCCCTGGCTGCAGAGGAGATGCCACGTCTAAAGCAGCAGGACGACATCGTGTGTCCTTCAGAGTTGTGTCCTGACAGCTCCCTGGTGTTAAGCACGGGCACTCTATGCTGTATCGAAGAGGACAGGCAGAATGAGGGAGGAAGGCAGGAATTGAAATTGTGAGGATACACAGCTGTTTGGCTGTCGAGCTGCCAGCAGACGTGGATATCACTGCTGGCAGAGGCAGAGGGGCTGCAGGGGTGCTCCAGGAAATCAGTCCCTTTGGTGCATGCACTGAAGAGCTGAACACTTTTCAGTGAATGCAATGAGAGCAGCCCTGTCTATTCGGGAGGCCGGAAAAGAGATGGATCCTGAGAAAACACCTGTCCAGGGTGTTGGGTCATGCTGTACACGCTGGTTTTGTGCTTTAACCTACTCTGCATCAGCAAGTCCTGAAAATACCTACATTGTCACTAAGAGCAACAGCCCTTAAGCTTGTAGAGCCATCAAAAGAATAATTATTGCAAGCCGTAAATAGTACTGTAGTTACTGTAGGACACTTGATATTGGCTGCAAGTAGAAGCTATGCTTTACTTATTTCTTACTGCTTTTTTTTTTTTTTTTAAATCCACATACACGCAAGATTCATGCACACGAAATGACATTAAACTCCCAGTGTGGACAGAAGCCCTGATGTAGGGCAAGATTTCAGTGTGATTTCACCCTGAGGTTTCTGAACCTGTCCCTGTGAAGATGAGGCAGGGAGATCCATAAAGAGAAAATATTTAAAACTACACAGCTAATACTGCTTTTTTTTTCCTTACAATTATATATTCAAAGACTGTAAAACACATATAGCATTTCTGCTCCGTGTTATGGGAAGAGGGAAGAGGTGTATGTTTCTGTCATAATCCTGAGAGTGCAGTGTCACAAGTTAGATGCATCATAAGCCCTTGATTAAAAAATTCCACTTTAAATATTCAGAGGGTTATTTTAGAAGGAGTTGGGGTGCTTCTATTTTTAGTAGTATGAGTAGAAATTATGGCAACACATAATCACGGCTTTTTGTTAAAGCTGCCTCTTTAGTGTGGAATTCACAGGTACCAAGCTACTTCTGATACGCAATTCTTGGAAACTGGTCTTGCTCTCCGGAGTGCTAAATGCCTCCAGTTTTCTTCCCTTGTTTGATCTTGTGTGACTCTTCTGTATTGTAAATAATCTTTTGGGGTTTGCAGGCTTTGATTAAGTTCAACACCATTTGATATCCACTCAGTGAACAACTTCATCTATCCGAGGTATGGTCTGTTTGTAGCTCACCAGAGCCCCAAGAGGGGGAGAAAAGTAGCGTTAGCAGCAGCAGATTTACCAAGAGCTGCACTGACTCTGATGCAGATTAACGAGATCTGCCTAGATCCAGAACACTGACTGGCCATAAGTATTAAAAATTTAAAAAAAACCAAAGCAAAGCACAACTTTGAGCTTCCTAGTATGTGTTCTCTGAGGACACCATCTAAAATTGTGCATAACTGGAGGATTCAGGTATGCATTTGCAGAGGCTCCAAACAGCAGCTACTCTAACTCAGTGCAGATCAAGAACCCATCTTTCACAGTACCTAAAAAACAGCAAGGTATCATCAGAGGCTCCATCCCTAAATGGCACCAAAGAGAGCAGCTGCATATAAAGGAATTTGTTATAATACTGAGTACATTTACTACACTCATTTCTATCAATTTATTTTGTATATACAGACAGCTTTTTATATGCATTTTTCTTAATTATATAACTGTCATAAATGTAATGAAGCTGCACGTTGTAGTTAGTTTTAATGCTGATTAAAACTGGTGTTTGGCTGTTTGTTTTCTCCAGCAGTTACTTGAATCTTGTTTCCATTAGGTAGTGAAGTCTGATAATGTTTACAGGATTGCTTTATTTTTTTTCTTGGTGGGGGGGGGGGGAAGTCCTATCTCTCTTCACTGCCCCAAGAGACAGAGCACGTGCTCAGCAGTCGAGCAGATGGGCTGGGGATGAAACATTGGGTCACCAAAGCACTGATGGTGACAGGCACATTCCCTTCTGTTTACAGTGCTCAGCTGACAACTTACACGCCTCCTGCCCCTTAACCTGTTGCTATCAGCTTTGTCATGAGAAACTTAAATCCTTCTGAATGGCAATTTACAATCATAAAAGTATCACAGAAAAGACAACGTTCTTGCTGTTAAATCTGCCCCCTTTTTAACTTAGATGAATTAAACATCCCTGGGTTAACTCTGCAGTTATTTTTGTATTTGCAGGGGTCATCAACATTTGCACTAATCACCGTGTCCCAGCTGTTCTACTTCCATGTAGTTATTTTTAACTGTGCTGCCTAAAACTTGTAATGAGCTGTATTTAAGTTTAAGGTGAAGTGTAGAAGATACATGTAGTAATGACACATTTATTGTATTTTTTTCTATGTTACAGATAGGACTAGTCCTATGCACAGACAAAAATGTTGCCATTTATAGTTTAATACTTGAAGTAACTTTTTAAAACAGGCTTTTATAAATGAATTAAATACAAAATCACATTGCTTTGCCTGGAAGTTCCTTCTTGTTTTTAATTGTATTGTGCAATTTCCCTGTATGTATACTTTTCCATAAATGTTATCTTAAGCCATTTATAACCATTGAAAGTGCATTCAAGATTTTGTACACCAGTGTTCAGACCTGTTCATGTTTAAATAAAAAAGTTGTACCATTTTAGGCCTCTTCTCCAAAGTGATAAAATATGAATGGACTTGACACTTAAGCTCATCAGTGAATGCAACATCAACTTAATAAAAGTATGTGAAAGAATCTGAAAATTGCTTAGCTGTGTGTATTAGGTGAGAAAAACTGCCTACCTGGGAAACATTTTGTAACCAGTTTTTCCACTCCAGCTGCAACAAACCTAAGGTTACACTCACTCCTGCCACATCTTCCAGCTCACTTGGTCTTGAGAGGGGAAATAAAATGTCTTGTGGCTGACTGCATTCCTTCAGAACACTAAACATGGCTTAGAAATCGGATTGCCACTCAAACAGGAATAGATGTGTTCCTTTTAGGTCAGAAATAATCTCTGTGAGAGGGCAGTAACACGCAAGTTGCCACTGACATGACAGTGACACCGGCATTTAAATTGAACCGTTCTTTCCAGAGAGTTTTAAAAACCAAAAATGAACATTTTAGTCTTCCACTTCATACATCTAACTTTGTGATTCTATTTCATCTTACTCCTTGCATGCCAGATGAAGTGAGCACTGTGTATCACCAGTTGTGTCTCAAGTGCTGATGTATACATCTGGTCAGCACCAGCAGAAAATCCCTTACAAGAGAGCGGTGTGTTCTCCTGGCTTTTAAAAGGAAATTAGTGAAGCTCTAAATCTAGCTCAAATCATCAGCACTGCACTTGGTAACTCACCCCGTTTTGTGCAAAACCCCTGAAGAACAGAAGGCGGACGAGTGATAGAAAGGCACAGAAAGCACTGCCTTCTTCTAGAGGCAATAACAAGAAAACATACACTGCTCTGTAAGACTACTTTTAATGTATTTTGTATACCGTAGCCAAGTCTCATTTGTCATCTACCCTTATTGTACTGATTTACAAAACTACCATAGTACAACAGCACGTACCCCGATAGTGCGCAGTACATGCCAAATACAAATCCACCACAGTATTCAAGATGTCCACCTTTTTGTCACATTTAAGTGGTTTAAATGATCACTCATGTATCTATGCTCAGGGAACTTTGCTTTCATCCGGCTTTTGAAAGCTTCCCATTTTGCAAGTCTCTCTTCTGTATTATGTTTGTACTCCTGTTCCCGGGTCAGGTAAGGTCGGCTCAGCCAATATTCATTCTCTGCTTCAATTTCCAACCTTCGGACCATTGCTTGCTTCATTGAAAGGGTAACCACTCTTGGTCGCCTGTACTTTCCAATCCATTGATTTCCAGGAATTCTCTTTCGGAGCAGTACTGTTGTTAAAAACATTATGCCTCCAAATTCAAACAAAAATATAAAACACTCATTACCTTAGGGACAAAAATTAAACTTTTAACAAGAAAAACGAAAACTCTGCACATACTCCACTGTCTTTTATCTGGCTGTTACGAACTCTATACAACCAACCATTAAGTACAGCAGAGAGTACAATGACAGACACAGACATATTGGAAACTTAAGACCAGAAAAGGGAAAAAGAAATCTTAATTTACCTAAAGAGTTTACTCAGTTATCCTTGTGTTGAGATTAAAGCATGTCCTCCATAAATTATTTATGAAAAATCCAGTCCCTGACATTGTTAAAAGATTCACTTCATTAATTCCTTCTTCAAATAGCCAACTGCATTGTCAAAACAGGGAGTATTTCCCAGTCTATCTTCTAGGTCCAGATCTGGCCTTTCCTCAGCATTAACTTCTGAACTACAGTCTCTCCATAAACTCATTAGTGTATGATTACCTAGTCTTCTATTTTAACGATGGGAAATCTGGTTTGTAAAGGAAAACAATATCCTGTATCAGACCAACTGACACCTGTAGAAAGCAGAGTTTTCCAACACAATGCACACGTGAAAGAGGTAAAAAAGGCCAAGCAATGTTTAGACTTGATGCACATGCTCTTCCTTAACCTGCTTGTTAATCCTAAACATGCCTAACTCCTGCATCTCTCATTACACAGTATTTTCATCAACTAGTAAATCAGCCAGGCACTTGAACACAGCATAAACCAATACTGCTGAGAAAAGGCACACCACTCTACCCCATTCCCATGTTGTAGTTGCATACTGACGTTCCCCTCTCTGATGCCGTTTAGAGATGAAGCCGTGGGGCTTCGTGGGGGCACTACTGCCTGTCTTTTTGGCTCCCCTCCCAGCAAGGGAGGGCAGGGCAGAGCTGCTTGTCCTCAGGCCTGGGCCCGCTGCAGGCTCAACTGGGAGCAAAGCCGGCATGCGAGGCGGCACAGCTGCGCTCCGGGGCTCTCCACTGCCACAGGAGCTGCCTGGACCGCTTAGCTCTTGCCAGCTCCAGGCGAGTTTCTGTAGGCCTGAGGAGAAACATCCCTGCCAGTTCCCCACTAGGGCTCAGGGCCCTCACTCCCGGTTCAGGGCCAGGCCAGCCCGAGCGAGACCGGAACCACCCTGCCAAGAGACACCCCGCGCTCGGGCTGAAGCACCGGAAGAGACCATCACAGCGTTCCCAGCCCCGTGATTAACGGGTCGCTTCCCTTCACCCTCACTCACCGACTTCGGTGACGGCTCCAGTCCCTAAGGCGGGCAGCAAGCTGGTGGCTGCCGGACGTGCGGCGCTTCTCGCGAGAGCTCGCGGCGGGTGGGCGGGG